TCGCCCTGGTACCCAGGGTTCAGAGAAGCAGGGAGGACAAGGCTCCCTCATGTCTCAAAGAGAATCTCCTCATTCAAATCTGCGAAATCTGGGGCTCCTCAGAGGGTGACGTCTGTTCAGCGTCCAACTCCTGGTTTCAGCTCAGGTCATGATCTCAGCATCGTGACCTCAGGGTCATGAGATCAAGCCCAGCGACAGCTCCGCACACAGCACGGAGTCTGCTTAAAAAAACTCTCCCTCTCCCTCTGCCTCCACCCTGCTCACAGGCTCTCTCTCAAATAAATAAACACACCTTTTTGTAAAAAATCTGTGAAATCTGAGGGTGTTCGTGTGGGACAGTAAATTGCCCCGAGGTTCTAGCTACAAGGCCCTACACGCACCAGAGACCCAGGCCCGCGCTTCCTGCAGGAAGGTGAGTGAAGGCCCACTGGGGAAGCTCGGGGTCCTCCAGGACAGGCAGCAGGTCTAGCCTGGAGAGTCCCCTGTTGGGTGCAGGCTCTCAGCCCTAGGGCGGCGGCGGGAGCCCTGGCTGAGGTTTGCAGGCCCCCCACATCCTGCTGTGCCCCCCTCTGGGCCCACAGCATGGGAGGCTGGTGCCCTGGTCACGGCCTCAGGCCTGGTGGCCTCGGGGTCCTGGGGCAATACCCGGGCTCCTGTCCTGACTCAGGCTGGTGAGAGGAGAAGGCAGTTGGGGAGGGTGGGGAGACCCCATGCCGGCTGTAGGCAGCCGTGTCCCTGCAGAAGTCATGCAGAGGAGCCATCCAGATCTGCAGCAACCCCATGGTCTGGGTATCGTGAACAAGACTGTGAGAGCTGCTGCTGGCCGTGTACTCCCTGACCCACACCATGGTGCCGACACGCAACACAGCTGCCATCAACATGATCCTGAGGGGGCAGGACGGTGACCCACGTGTCCACCCTGACCCTGGCTGTTGCCATCAGTCTCTTCATGCTGGTGCTGCCCGCCCTTATCATGCGGCGGCCACTGCAGCCCCAGACTTTCAGGGAACCGCTTTGCAAACGAGTGCCAGCTGCCCGCCGCCAGGTCCTCTTCTCCAGCACCTACCTCCCGGCTACTGTGAGTGTGGACCGCCACCCGGGGATGCTGGCCGCCACGAGGTCCCGCCCCAGGCCCCGGCACACCCTCCTGGGCGAAGATCAGCCTGTGTCTGGGTCCAGGTCACCATCGTGGTGCCCTTGCTGTGATCCACAGCAACGAGCTGCAGGCCACGAGCTGCGGGCTGAGCTCCCCACAGCCTGAGAGAGCCTGGTGCAAGGCTGCATCCACATGGTGGTCCTGGGCTTCGTGGCGTCCTCTGTGTGCTAGGTGCGGACCTGCCTCATCGGCCGTGGGCCCCGCAACTGCACTCCACAACCAAAGCTCTGGGCAAGGCCGAGCAGAAGGCGACCGGCCTGGTTCTGGCTGTGCTGGCCACGGGTCTGCTCTGCTGGACACCCTTCCACCTGGCCTCCGTCGTGACCCTGACCGCACACCTGCCCCAGATGTCCCTGGTCATCCCCATCTCCTGTGCCATCACCAGCCTCCAGCCCAGGAGCTAAAGGAGCGGTGCCAGCTCCCATCCCAACCCTTTCCTCTACGCTTCCTGGGTGAAAGCTTCCAAACACCTTCCAGAGCACATTCCGCTGTCCAAGAGCCTGAGCACCCCCCCCCCACCAGCGCCCCGGGATATCTTAGGACAAGTGCTGTCACTTTGGAGGAACGTCCCACTTGCTCACATCCCATCACTACCTTCTCCATGCAGAGAGAGAAAGACTACAAAGGCTAGCCACCACACCTGCAGAGACGACTATAAGCCTGTCCCTGTCCATGTCTGCCACCTGGACAGCCCCTGGGTGAGAGGCTGCAGGGGTACAAGTCCTGCCTCCCCACCCCCACCAATCTGACCCAGGCCAAAATTCTTGGCACAGCAGACATCCCGACTCTACTCACCGGCAGAAACACAGACAGACAACCAACCTCCCTGGATGCCCCTTCCCCATCCTCTCTGACAGCCGTGACCTGGAGGGAAAGAAACCCAAACTGTGATCTCTTCGAGGGGACGCTCAGGCTGGCTCCCCCCAAGACAGTACAAACAGATGATAAAAGTGGGAACACCTGGGATAGGACAGCCACGCGTTACTGCGAAACCACAGACTCAGTCCGCAAAGAAGGCCACGGAATGCACACTCATCGCTGGAAACTTGGGTGGCATTTCACCAGGAAACCTGTGCCCCTCTTGTGCCCTCTCTTGCCCCCCCCCGCTGTGGCCCACACCCGTTCTGTGTCCTCCATGTCTCAGCCTATGGCGCCCTCAAATCCTGCTCTAGGGCCCAGGGCCCTTCTGCCAGGACCTCTGGACACCCACAGTCTAGAAAGAATATCTGTTATGGGGATGGGCTGGCATCTGGACCCCTTTTTCCCTGGGGTGTGTCCTGAGGCCTAGATTCTTCCAGCAGGAGCTCCACGCTGAGCCTCCAGGGGCAGGGTGGGGACACTGAGGGGCTGGCCACTCAGAGACCATTTTCTTCCAGGAGTTGGGAAGGGGGGACAAGTCCCCAGAAACTGCCCTAGCAGGCCTTGGCCAGGATCCCCAACCTTGGCCCCAGGGATCCCAGCTGGTTCTATGCCTGGGGTGCAGGCCGTGCTACCCGGGGGTCACTGGCACCTCTCGATACCTTCCAGAGCTCCCGGGGCCCAGGCCGGTTGTCGTCCTCACAGCGGGGAGCTCCGAGCAGTCCGTCCCCCTGCCACGCTACACCCACCATTCACCACCTGTGAGGTCACCCCACGGTGCCTGGCCACTACCTGTCATACACTCCAGCGTCCCTAGTCACGTGTGTCCTCGGAGCTCAGACCCGCACGCATCCCTCTCACCTCTCCTCTCTCAGCCTGATACAATTCAAACACACCCTCTCCCCCTTCTCTTCCTTGACAACACCACAATCCGTGGCCGTGTAACAAACTTCCCCAGAATCTATCGGCTTGAAACCTTGTCTCATAGCTCCCGTGGGCCAAGGATTCAGGAGAGTTTTGGAATGGTTCTAGCTCAGACACTCTCCTGAGGTTAGGGTCAGGCCTGCGGCTGAGGCTCTAGTCGCCTGAAGGCTGGACGAGGGCCACGGGTGCTGCTTCCAAGGAGGTCCCCTCGCACGGCCCGCGGCAGGAGACCTCAGGTCCTCACCACCCAGACTCCCCCAGGGCTGCTGGGGCATCCTCACTACCTGGCGGCTGGCCCCAGGGGGCGAGCAGGTGGGCAGGGAGAGGCCAGAGGAGGCCTCAACGCCATTCAAGACTGTCCTGGAGGCCACGTGCCACATTCTGTTCATTAGGAGCAAGTCCCCAAGCCCAGCCCATGCGCAGGGCCTGTGGACATTTGTTAAACCACCGCTCACACCCACATCTCTCCCTGGAAGGTTCTGAGTCCTGCTTCCCGCAGTGCGGTCATTCCTCTGCCAGCTGCAGCCCTCATTGTGGCCTCCGCACCGCCCGTCCCTGCAAGCTTCTGGAGGAGAGGAGCGGAGGCTCTCAACAGCCATCTGAGGTGTGAGCAAGTGCAAATGAGTGAGGGAACAGGGTGCCCAAGCCACCCTCGGCAGGGGCTGCGTTCCTGAGAAGCCGTGGGAACGGGAGGGGAGGGGGGCCGGCAGGGGCAGGCTCCTCACCCCAGCCAATGCACCTGACCCTTCAGGGCCCATCTCCCCGCAGATGCTCACTGCAGGGTGGGGCGAGCAGGTTAGGGTACCCCCACCACCCGCGCTTCCCCCACCCCACCGCACAGTCTCCCCAGCACTTCTCAGGTACCCGCTGCTGTAGGCCCCTCATTCCCAAACTTCCCCTTGATGCTAACTGTGTTTGAACAGCCAAGTGCCCATCGTTAGGTTGGTGTGAAACTGCACACCGGCCCCTCTGCGGAGGCCAAACACTTCCCCCCCAGCTTGCCCTCACCACCCCCTCTGACACCCCTCTTTCTGAGAGGATCACCCACCCCAAGGGTCAACCTGGACCAAACTGGGTCCCCACCAGAGCCAGAGGCACGTCCCCATCTCAGGGCCACCAATGGAGGCTGTCTGTTCATCTTCCAAACTGCTGGGTCTGCTCAAGGAAGGGGGAGAGGGCTGGGGCAGCGAGGGGTCTGCTGGGACTAAGTGGGGTGAGAGAAACATGGGACCCCGTGGGAAGAGTGCACCCCACCCCGACCCGCAGGGAACCTCTAGCCACAGGGGCAGGATGTAGGTGCCATAGCTGGTTGTTCAAGGAGAAGCTATTTATGCTGAAGGAAAGGAAACAGACCTCCAGCGCATCACGAAATCACACTTTCTGGAAGTCGCAGCCTCGCAGCCTCCAAGGGTACCATCTCATGAAGACAGAGCCTGGCCAGGTGAGGAGCCCAGAGCAGGTGGGAGGACTCCTTACCCCAGCGGCCCCACCCCATGGGAGTCAGAAACACCTGCTCAGGGGGAAGGGGTTTATGGTGGCCCCAATGACCCCTGGAGACAAGATTAGGGTTGGTTCCATGTGGGGGAAACGACACTGGTCGCATGCATAAATACACGAAGCAACGTGGCCACCAGCACGCGTCCTTCGGCCTGTCACGAAAACGCCCCAGCGGGGAGGCTCCATCCCCCCCAGGAACGATCCCACAGAGCTGGGGCTCCCTGAAGCAGGAAAAGCCAGCCCAAAGTCAGTGCTTCCTGTTCTTTGCAGGAGCCCGAGACCACCTGGCTGAGGTCTGCCACTCAGCTCACGGGTGGAGGCGGAATGGTCTTTTCAGTGTTGGATTTCCATAGTTTATCTACAGGAGAGAGTGTCTGCAAATTCGCCAGACGGCAGCTCCCAACCACAGAGCAGGAAGGGTGCTCCTCCGGGGACCACAGCAGGGAGCCCCCTCCCTGGCAACGGGACGCTCCAGAACATTCTCACAGTGGCAGCGGGAAGCTCAGCACCCCCCGCCACAGACCCCTGGAGGTTTGTCTGTGACGCCGGGGCCGGTCGCCAGAGAGGCAGAGCAGAGTCCATCCCCACGGCCAACTCCTCCTCCAGGTCCACCAGGGTCCAAACAGGGCGCAAGGGCCTGTCGGCCGCAAAACTGCTGACCTCTGACTTCAAGAGAGCCGCAGAGGACCCAGGGACAGAGCACAGCAGAGCGCCCCTCCCCTCCAGCGCTGTGCAGCCAAGACCAGGACTCCGGGGCTGTTTCCAGAACGACAAAGTGGCCTGAGGTGACCGAGCAGCCCACTGTCCCTCCAGGCCACCTCCACACCCCAGACAGCCACATCTGTGGTTGATGGTTCTTTGTGCTTCGGGAGCGAAAAGCCCCTCAGAAGCCTCTCAGAGGCGGGCGTGGGGGACAGGGAAGTGACGGCACTTGAGGCCCAGGCAAGTCCTCACCGGCAGCTCCAAACCCCAAGGAGGGGTTGCAGGGCCCCCCGCAGAGAGCATATGGCACAGGGAGCAGGTGGCACACTGCTGTCACACCTCCAGGTGTGCCCATACCCAGAGCCCGCAGGGCGCCGTGGGGGAGAGGCCAGCAGAGTGCCATGAGGGTTAGGGTGTTGGCAGGGGCTCTGGCCGGGCACACTCGTGGCAGGGGTCCCCTCTCTGCTATGCACGGGGAGGGCAGCTACCATCTGACCTGTCCCATGACGTCACCAGGCCCTCTGAGGCCACGCGGAAGTCCGCAAGTCCGGCAATGCCCAGGACCCAGGTTGGGTGTCAGCCTAAAGAGCAGTGACCTGGGTGAGCTCCGTGTTGGGTGTTGATGGGCTCTGCGGGCTGACAGGCACCATGGGCAGGTCCACGCCTAGTCATGCGGGCCGTGGTACTGTCTCAGAAGTCTTGCAGGCAAGGGCCACGTCCTTGGCGATGCTGCGCACACGGTCGGACACCTGCGTCTCCCGGCGCAGGGCTGGGGCACAGCAGAACTTCCGGAAGCAGGCCTTGAAGTTCTCGTCCAGGAAGGCGTAGAGGACGGGGTTGAGGCCGCTGTTGACGTAGCCGAGCGCCGTGCAGAAGCGCAGGACGGCCACGGCGGCCTCGCTGCCCGGCTGCACCCCCAGGCCCTGTGCCAGCACGAAGACCTGCACAGGCGTCCAGCAGCCCACGAACACAGCCACCACCACCAGCACCAGCCGCGTGATGCGCCGCAGGTTCCGGTCCTTTTCGCGGGAGCCGGACAGCAGGCGTACACCACGCAGCCGCCGGATCATGAGGCTGTAGCAGATGGAGATGACGAGTACGGGAATGATGAAAGAGAAGAGGAAGATGCACACGGCAAACACAGGGCCCCAGTAGTCCTGTGGGGCGGGGATCTCCACCAGACACTCGATCTCTGCAGGGAGAAAACCAGGGTCAGGGTGGGTAGACCGGGAAGGACCCTCTGCGACCCAGGCAAGAAGAGCACCGCGGAAGGGGGGTCGCCCCTGACCTTCATCCTCGACCTGCGCCGAGCCCATGATGGCAACAGGAACACCGACAACGGATGCCAGAGCCCAGATGGCCACATTGACAGCCTGAGCCTTGCTGGACGTCCGGACATCGAGAGCTCGGATGGGGTGGCAGATGGCTACATAGCGGTCCACACTCATGGCGGTCAAGGTGAAGGTGCTGGTGAACATGTTGTAATAGTCGATGGCAATGACCGTCTTGCACAGGGCATTTCCAAACGGCCAGAAGCCCAAGAGGACGTCAGTGCCCTGGAAGGGCAGTGTCAGCAGCACCAAAGTGTCTGCCAGGGCCAGGTTAAAGATGTAAATGTTGGTGGCCGTCTTCATCTTGGTGTGTCTGCAGAGAGCACAGGGAAAAGAAAGGCTTCATCCAGTGCCAATGGCTGGACCTGGCAGCAAAGCCCAGGGTCCTTCTTATTGCCACCATGAGGAGCATCCACTCTGAGGCCCTTGTTAAAATGCAGGTTCCTGGGCCCAGCATAAGGGCATGGAGCTGGGGAGCAAACAGTCCTTCCAGCACACACAAAAGTGTTCCAGACCCGAAGACTGGTCTGCTTTGGAGAAGTTGGGTATGTAGGGTAGCAGGGCACACATCTGACTCCACATGGGATCAAAGAGGTAGGACTCCTACGAAAAAGAGCCTGTCCTCCTCCCTCCCTTTCAAGTCTTCCTAAAGACCCTTCACGGACTACAAGGTTGGCCTTACAGACACCAGAGATTTCTAAGGTCTCCAAAGTCTATAAGAGCCCATCAACAGCCGTCACAGCCCATGTTGTGGTCTGGGGATAGAGACTGGAAATGGTGACAGGAATGGGAGAGGAGCTAATGTGGTCTGGCTGTACCCAAGGAACAGGTCTGGGGACATTACGGCTGCTTAATAAATATTTGTTGACTGAATTAATAGTAATAATATTGGTGATGGTGGGGGATGGTAAGTGTGGTGAGTGTGGTAAGTGTGGGGGGG